TCTGGGAGTGGAAGCCCACCCCTCTTAAAGCATTGCTGGCTGGGGGATTCTGGGAGTGGAAGCCCTCCCCTCTTAAAGCATTGCTGGCTGGGGGATTCTGGGAGTGGAAGTCCACCCCTCTTAAAGCATTGCTGGCTGGGGGATTCTGGGAGTGGAAGTCCTCCCCTCTTAAAGCAGGCTGGCTGGGGGATTCTGGGAGTGGAAGCCCACCCCTCTTAAAGCATTGCTGGCTGGGGGATTCTGGGAGTGGAAGCCCACTCCTCTTAAAGCATTGCTGGCTGGGGGAATTCTGGTAGTGGAAGCCCGCCCCTCTTAAAGCATGCTGGCTGGGGGATTCTGGGAGTGGAAGCCCACCCCTCTTAAAGCATTGCTGGCTGGGGGATTCTGGGAGTGGAAGTCCTCCCCTTTTAAAGCATGCTGGCTGGGGGATTCTGGGAGTGGAAGCCCACTCCTCTTAAAGCATTGCTGGCTGGGGGAATTCTGGTAGTGGAAGCCCGCCCCTCTTAAAGCATGCTGGCTGGGGGATTCTGGGAGTGGAAGCCCACCCCTCTTAAAACACTCTGGCTGGGGGGTTCTGGGAGTGGAAGCCCACCCCTCTTAAAGCATTGCTGGCTGGGGGATTCTGGGAGTGGAAGTCCTCCCCTCTTAAAAGTATGCTGGCTGGGGGATTCTGGGAGTGGAAATCCTCCCCTCTTAAAGCCTGCTGGCTGGGGGATTCTGGAAGTGGAAGCCCACCCCTCTTCAATCTGGCAAGGTTGAAAAAAAAACCCTTCCTCTAAATTCAACCCCCAACTGTGAAAATTGGCCCCAAACCCCAAATCTCAAAGATTGAGAGATTCTCCGTTTCTTAGCCCAAACCCCCTGAATCATCTCTTGCTTGAGCAGGGGGCTGGACTAAAAGACCTCCAGGGTCCCTTCCGACTTCGTTCTTCCGTCGTCTTTCCGTAACGGGTGCAATGCCATTCGTTCAAATGCCAGCTTCTCAGCCAACGCCACTTAAGCTTCCGACCCTTGCCAAGACTTGGTGGGCCAAGGAAGCTGGCCGGCTCACTCGCGGCCCTCGCAGCCTGCCACCCGAGGCTGCTCCGTAGGGGAGGGGATGCCAAGCCACCCTTGGCATCCGTAATGAACCTCGTGCCACGTCAAGACGAGAAGCTTCTCCTTCTGTGCCAGCCTGAAATGCATCTGCTGGCATCGGCTTCCAGCCTTTGGCCGGCTGCCAGGACCTCCCTGCCAGATGCCAAGGCAGAGACAGGGAAATCTTAATCAATGTTAGCCAGGATGGCGCAGAGCCAGTCACGTTAAGGCTGCGATTGGAAAAGGACGAAAAAGCCCGCTTGGGCAGCCGTAAACCTCTCTGTGGGCCAGCTTGGAGCTTCTATGCGTTTATTTTAATCCTACTTTTATTATTTCTATAAATAAGCCAAAGGGGGCGGGGAAGGTGGGCTGAATCTGCTTTTCTCCTCCTATTGGGCCCATAACAACAACCTTGGGAGGTAGGCTGGCTGAGAGAGAGGGGGGGGGAAGGAGAGAGAAAGAGAGAGAGGGCGGGGAAAAGAGAGAGAGAGAAGGAGAGAGAAAAAAGAGAGAGAGGAAGAAAGAAAGGAAGGGAAGGAAGGAAGGAAGGAGGGAAGAAAGGAAAGCAGGATGGAAAGAAGGGAGAAAGGAGAGAAAGAAAGAAAAAGAGGAAGAAATGAAAAGAAGGAAGAAAAATAAATAGAGAAAGCAAGAAAGAAAGAAAGGTGAGAGGAAGTAAAGGAAGGGAGGAAGAAAGAAAGAAAGGAAGAAAGAAAAATAGTGAGAGGAAGAAAGGGAAAGAAGAAAAGAAAAATTAATAAATAGAGAAAGAAAGAAAGGTGAGAGGAAGTAAAGGAAGGAAGAAAGGAAGAAAGTGAAAGAAGGAAAAAGTAAAAGAAAGAAAAAGTGAGAGAAAGAAAGAAAAAGAAGGAAGAAGAAAATAGATAAAGAAAGGTGAGAGGAAGTAAAGGAAGGGAGGAAGAAAGGAAGGAAGGAAAAAAAGAAAAAAAGAAAGAAAAAAGGAAGAAAAGAATAATAAATAAATAGATAAAGAAAGATGACAGAAAGTAAAGGAAGAAAGGAAGGAAGGAAGGAAGAAAAAGAGGAAAAAAGTAAAGGAAGGAAGAAAAGAAAAATAGATAAAGAAAGAAAGATGAGAGGAAGTAAAGGAAGGGAGGAAGGAAGGAAGGAAGAAAAGAAAAAAAGAAAGAAAAAAGGAAAAAAGGAAGAAAAGAAAAATAAATAAATAGATAAAGAAAGAAAGATGACAAAGTAAAGGAAGGAAGAAAGGAAGGAAGAAAAAGGAAAAAAGGAAAGGAAGGAAGAAAAGAAAAATAGAGAAAGAAAGAAAGTGAGAGGAAGTAAAGGAGGGGAGGAAGAAAGAAAGGAAGAGAGAAAGAATGGAAGGAAGGAAGGAAAGAAAGAAAGGGAGGAGAAGCGAGGAAGGGAGAGAAGAGAAAGGAAACGAAGGAGAAGAAAATACAGAATTATGACTTCTGCCCCTCTTTCCTAAAAGCAGTTTCCATCTTCCTATTTCCCCTCCCTCTCTAATACTCTTCAATCCCCCAACTATAGAACCACAGGGCCAGGAGGGACCTTGGCGGTCATCTAGTCCAACCCCCTTCTCCAGCAGGAGTTCCCGGACCAACAGCTATCCAATCTCTTCTTTAAAAAAAAACAGAACCTTCCAGCACCCACAACTTCTATTCTACAGGCCCAGTCCCTCGTCCTCCTTGTCCTCGTCCTCCTCGTCCTCCTCCGTTCTCGGTTCCCATGCCCAGAGCCCCGGGTTCAAATCCTGACCACCACCACCCTTCTTTCCCCCCCTCCCTCTCTCTCTCCCAGTGGGACTCCATCAACGAGATGGACGAGTTCTTCCAGCCCATCCACACCTACCAGGTATGCAACGTCATGACGGCAAATCAGAACAACTGGCTCAGGACGAGTTGGATCCAGAGGCACGGGGCTCACCGGGTTTACGCCGAGATCCAGTTCACCCTACGGGATTGCAACAGCATGCCGGGTGTCTTGGGCACCTGTAAGGAGACCTTTAACCTCTACTACCTCCAATCCGACCGGGATCTGGGCAGTACCACCCGCGAGAGCCAGTTCGTCAAAATCGACACCATCGCGGCCGACGAGAGCTTCACCAACGTGGACCTCGGCGTCCGGCGGCTCAAGCTGAACACCGAAGTCCGAGGGGTGGGGCCCCTGACCAAGCGGGGGTTCTACCTGGCCTTCCAGGACATCGGCGCCTGCATCGCCGTCGTCTCCGTCCGCGTCTATTACAAGAAGTGTCCCACCATGGTCAGGAACCTGGCGGCTTTCTCCGAAGCGGTGACGGGGGCGGATTCCTCCTCCCTGGTGGAGGTGCGGGGAGAGTGCGTGACGCACTCGGAGGAGAGGGACACCCCCAAAATGTACTGCAGCGCGGAGGGCGAGTGGCTGGTGCCCATCGGGAAGTGCGTCTGCAGCGCCGGGTACGAAGAACGGAAGGACGCGTGTTTGGGTAAGACACGGGGCGGGGAGGATGGTTTTGGGGGGGAGTACTGATAGGGTGGCGAGAGAAAAATCTTTGCCCAGGCTGTCCTTGACATACGACCTCAACCGAGCCCGAAATATCTCTTGTAAAGCAGGGTGGTTGAATTTCGCTCCATTTTATGACCCTTCTTGCCACCGTCGTTTTTATGTGAATCACTCCAGTGGTTGAGTCAGGAGAGGGTGCGGTGGCCTTAGCGGTGGAGCGCTGGCCTCACAATCAGGAGGCTGTGAGTTCGAACCTAGGGAGAGGCGGATATTTCTCTCTCTCTCTGGCCACAATGGGAACATATCTGCCGAATAAAACTCCGTACTGGCGACATGACAGGCATCCGGCCAGGAAAACAATCAGCTCCATTCCGTTGCCCCGACTCCACCCCGCAAGGGATTATAGGGTCGTTAAAAGAGGAGGATGACTCCAGTGGTTATGTCAAGTTGTTCATCGAATGTGGCTCCCCCGTCAACGTTGCTTGTCGGAAGGTCGCCAAAAGGGGATCACAAGACCCCCGGGACGCTACGACCGCCGTAAATACGAGTCAGTGGCCAAGCATCCAAATTCGGATAGCGTGACCACAGAGGATAATGTAAGTGTGGAAAAGGGTCCCTTTGTTTTTGTTGACGTCGTAACTTCGAGCGGTCACTAAATGAATGGTTTTAAGTCGAGGACTCCCTGTACAATAGCAAAAGCTGCAGGTAAAAATACAGATGCAGTAGGAGACCTCATGTTTCGCAGGAAGTGGGTTTCCCGCACTCAAAACAACGGAGAGAATCTTTTAGGAATCTTTCCAGATTTAAAAAAGAAAAACCTCCTTTCGAAAGCAACCTGCAGTTGTAAAAAGCCGGATGTCCTTGTGTCCCCGAGTAAAACGAATACTCTCCGTTGGGATTGTGCGCGGAAAGAGAAATATTTGCAAAATTAAGCCCCACGGCCCGAAGGACTTAGGAGACTTACGGAGATCAGGGAAATGAGGCCTTCGTGGAAGTGTGTTATGGCCGCTCACGTAACATGGGAAAGTGTGTGTGTGTGTGTGTATTTCTGTTCTGTATATCTATCTATCTATCTATCTATCTATTTTATCTATCTATCTATCTATCTATCTATCTATCTATCTATCTATCTATCTATCTATCTATCTNTCCTCTCCCCTCTCCTTCTGCCCCTTTCTCTTCTCCTACATCTTCCTCCCACTCCACTCTTCCTCCTCCCCTCTTCCTCCTCTCTCCCTCCTCCTCCTCCTCTTCTTCCTTCTCCCCCTCTCCTCTTTCTCCTCCCCCCTCCCCCTCCCTCTGCCACCTCTTCTCCCTCCTTTTCCTCCTCTTGCTCCTCTCCTCCTCCTCCTCTCTCCCTCCTCTTCTTCCCCTCTTACTACTCTTCTGCCTCCCTTCTTCCTCCTCCTCTTCCTCCTCCCACTCCCCTCTTCTTCCTCCTCCTCCCCTCTTCCTCCCCTCTCCCTCCTCCTCTTCTTCTCCTCCTCTTCTTCCCCCCTCTCCTCTTCCTCGTCCCCTCTTCCTCCCCTTTCCCTCTGCCACCTCTTCTCTTTCCTTTTTCTCCTCCTGCTCTCCTCTTCCTCCCCCTCTTCCTCCTCCTCTCTCCCCTCCTCCTCCTCTTCTTCCCCCCTCTCCTCTTCCTCCTCCCCTCTTCCTCCCCTTTCCCTCTGCCACCTCTTCTCTCTCCTCTTCCTCCTCCTGCTCTCCTCTTCCTCCTCCTCTTCCTCCTCCCTCTCTCTCCTCTCCTTCTCTTCTTCCTCTTCCTCCTCCTCTCCCTTCTCCCTCCTAAACGGACATCCATTTCTTCTGAATGGGGCAGGGGGTTGGGCTAGAAGACCTCCCAGGTCCCTTCCCATCCTACAATGCCACTCCTTTCAAGGAAAGAGAATTAACATTTTCTGCTGCCGAGGACATCCTTCCAATCTCGCCTGAGGAACCCCCCCCTTCCCCCCCCCTGCCTCAAATGGAAACCGGGCCATCTTGGTGAGATATTATTTCCATATCTTGCAAATCAAATCAGTTCCCGGGTTATCAGATGGCAGCCTTAATTGTAGCTATTAATGGCAATCATTTACAGTATTAGCTGCTCTGGCGGGAATCGTTTTACCCTAATTGTTATTATTTAATGGCTGGGGAAAAAACGGAAATCCAGATGCAAATTGGAAGGGCGCACGCTGCTTCGGCTGAATTATTTTTATTTTGTAATGTTATTTCCTATTTTATGTGCAATCGCTTTCTCAATAATTCTTAATGGCGGATGGGCAATTTTCACGGCGGGAGCCTTATTAAGTCATTTTTTTTTCCACATTTCTCTGGTGACGCCAAGCTGTTCTTCAATTTAAGAGTGTTGTTTTGTTTTGGTGGGTTCCCCCCCCCCCGCTTTCTTTCTTTTCCTCTAAAATATCCACACACTCGCTCCGCGAACGAAAAGTAATAATTGTGGGATGTCCAGAGTATCAAAATTAGTGGCAGGAAAGTAAGAAAGGAAGGAAGGAGAGAGGGAAAGAAAGGAAAGGGAAAGAGAGAGAGAGAGAGAAGAGAAGAAAAGGAAGAAAGGAAGAAAGGAGGGAGAGGAAGGAAGGAAGAAGGAGGAAAGAAAGAGAGAAGGAGGGAAAAAGGGAGGAAACATGAAAGAAGGGAGAAAAAGAAGGAAGAAAGAAGAAAAGAGAGAGAGAGAGAGAAGGAGGGAGGGAGGAAATGAAAGGGAAAGAAAGAGAGAAGGAGGGAGAGAGGAAACATGAAAGGAGGGAGAAAAGGAAGGAAGGAAGGAAGGAGGGAGAGGAAGGAAGGAAGGAAAGGAAGAAAGAAAGAGAGAGAAGGAGGGAGAGAGGGAGGAAACATGAAAGGAGGGAGAAAAAGAAGGAAGGAAAGAGAGAGAGAGAAGGAGGGAGGAAATGAAAGGGAAAGGAAAAGAGAGAGGGGGAGGGAGAGTGGAAACATGAAAGGAGGTAGAAAAGGAAGGAAGGAAGGGAAAGGGGAGGAAGGAAGGAAGGAAAGGAAGGAGGAAAGAAAGAGAAGGAGGGAGAAAGGGAGGAAACATGAAAGGAGGGAGAAAAGGAAGGAAGGAAGAAAGGAGGGAGAGGGGGAGGAAGGAAGGAAAGGAAGGAGAAAAGAAAGAGAGAAGGAGGGAGGGAGGAAATAAAAGGAGGGAGAAAAAGTAGGAAGAAAGAAGGAAAGAGAGAGAGAAGGAGGGAGGGAGGAAATGAAAGAGAAGGGAAGAGAGAGAGAAGGAGGGAGAGAGGAAACATGGAAGGAGGGAGAAAAGGAAGGAAGGAAAAAGGAGGGAGGGGGAGGAAGGAAGGAAAGGAAGGAGAAAAGAAAGAGAGAAGGAAGGAGGGAGGAAATAAAAGGAGGGACAAAAAGTAGGAAGAAAGAAGGAAAGAGAGAGAGAAGGAGGGAGGAAACATGAAAGGAGGGAGAAAAGGAAGGAAGAAGAAAAAACATGGAAGGAACAAGAAAGATTGATGAATGGAAGGAGGGAAGGAAGGAAAAAGAAAACATGAAAGGAGTGTGGGAGAGAGGAAGGGAAGGAAGGAAACATGAAAGTAGAAAGGAAAGGAGGGAAGGGGAAAAAGAAGGAAAGAAGGACCAGACGTTGGAGGGGAAAAAAAGAAAAAGAGACTAGTATAACACTTTATAAAAAAATCTCTTTGTTGCCTGTCCTTTTTTTTAAAAAAAACCTTTTAATCTTACCCATCACTCCAGTGCAAAATTCATTTTATGTACTTCGAGGTGTAGCCTCTTTGTTNGGGTTGGACTAGAAGACCTCCAAGGTCCCTTCCTGCTCTATTCTGATGGATGGATGGATTGATTGATTGATTGAAATAGTATAGTGTCTCCTGCTTGAGCAGGGGGCTGGACTAGAAGACCTCCAAGGTCCCTTCCTGCTCTATTCTGATTGATTGATTGAAATATCTAGGGTCTCCTGCTTGAGCATGGGGGATGGATTAGAAGACCTCTAAGATCCCTTCCAGCTCTATTCTGATTGATTGATTGATTGATTGACTGACTGACTGACTGATTGATTGATTGATTGAAATGATCGAGGATTGGACTAGAAGACCTCCAAGGTCCCTTTGACCTCTGTTCTGATTGTTTTGATGGTTTGAAATGGTCTATGATCTCCTGCTTGAGCAGGGGGTTGGACTAGAAGACCTTTAAGGTCCCTTCCTGCACTATTCTGATTGATTGATTGAAATATCTAGGGTCTCCTGCTTGAGCATGGGGGATGGACTAGAAGACCTCTAAGATCCCTTCCAGCTCTATTCTGATTGATTGATTGACTGATTGCTTGCTTGCTTGAAATGGTCTAGGGTCTCCTGCTTGAGCAGGGGGTTGGACTAGAAGACCTCTAAGGTCCCTTCCAGCTCTATTCTGATTGATTGATTGAAATGTCTAGGGTCTCCTGCTTGAGCAGGGGGTTGGACTAGAAGACCTCCAAGGCCCCTTCCCGCTCTGTTATCCTGTAACCCCAGATCAATGAATCAGTGGAATAATTTGCCTCCAGAAGTTGTGAGTGGCTCCATCCCTGGAGGTGTTGAAGAAGAGACCCTGGCCTGCCATTTGTCTGAAACGGACTACGCTTCCCTGCCTCAAACCCGTCAGTAAACGAATGGCCGTAATGCGAGGACCACCTGCCCCTCACCCCCCAGAAGGGAACGATCGAGAACTTTAGCTCGATTTCGGTGACTTTCGGAGCAATATGCGCTTTAAAATCTTGCACAGATTCTCCTCTGGCTCGTTTGAACGACAGACTGTCCCCAATTTAGGCCCATTCGCGTTGAAATCGATAAGATTTGTCGATGAAAGGACGGAAAGAAAGAAGGAAGGAGGAAAAGAGTTTAATTTGGGATTGCTAAATAGATCCCTTGGCCGTTTTTTTCCCCCTCCTTCTAGATAGGGAGGGCATGTAACCAGCTATAAATAAACCTCCTTTGAGATTGGTAGGGAGAAAAAAAATTCAGTTTATTTATGCAGGCCAAGTCTTCCTTTATTAGATCCGTTTATTTTTAGAACTTGGAATAATG